AGAGTCGGCCGGGGGTATTGACATCACATCCCAGGTAGCAATGCCCAGCAGTAGTCTCGGGGGGTTTTGGACAGTGATGTGTTTCGGCAGGGGCATTCCCTGCCCCTATGTGACGTGTAGATGGGGAAAGGGAATGCTCCAAACACAACTGATTGGGCCAGGAGTAGTGTGTTAGTAAGAGTTTTATGCAACCTTTGGCAAACTGGATTCACACCAAGCCACCATGCATCACTGTCCAAAAGCCGTGAGACTCCTGCCGGGCACCGCCATCTGGGATGTGATGTCACATGGAACTGGAACATCGCTACATTTAAATAGCTATATACGGGAAGCTTTAGCAACCTTGTCTCGTAGCTTTGGTTCTCCATTCCCTTAACTAGTTTAGTTGCCCTTCTCTGGACTCTCTCCAGCTCCAGGACATCTTTTCTGTGGATTGGTGACCAAAACTGAACCACATACTCCAGATGAGGCTGAACCAGCGATCTATAAAGTGCCAAAATGATTGCTTTGTCTCTACAGTAAATTCCCTTTTTAATATAAGACAGTACTCTGCTAGGGAGTTTGTTCTCCCTGTGCTTGCGTTGATTTCCTCCCACACTCCAAAGACATACTGGAAGGTTAATTGGCTCTTCTCTAATTTGGTCCTGTATGTGTGTACAATAGGGACCTTAAATTGTAAGCTCCTTAAGGGCAAGAACAGATGTGTAGTATGTAAAGAGCTGCGTAAATGCATGTAATAAATAATACTGCAGATGCACTGCTTTTTCCGAGATAATACGGGGGAGGGATGTTGGATAGCAGAAAACCATGTGACAAGAGGTTGTAGTCCCACCAAAGAACATACAGTACTACAAATATTGATGCTGCTTTAATGGCAAATATTATTCTCTTTATGCACTTTCTAGGCTGTTAATTAATAGTTTTTTATTTCATTCTTTTTTTAAAGCATTCTCACTTAGGAGTATTTTTTACAAATGCCAGTCTTTTGCACGGTACTGTGTGAAAGTCTGGCGAATCTGGCTGCAGGGGATTATTAAGATTAAAAAACCTGTTAAGAGACAAATACCTGTGCTGCCTTTTACCTTTTAATTGATATGGTGAACTGACATGTAGGTCCTTTAAAGCAGAACTGGAAGGAGTAAATTATTCCAGCTCAATTGGTCCTTAAAGGTTTATTTTCTCCTCACTTTTAACATTTACAAATGTTCCTGTTACTTTTAAGTTACAATATAGGGTGTATTAATAAAACGCTTGCAGAGATGTTCATTCTGCTAATATCTGACTTTTACATTAGCGCCCTGTTATGGCCACTAGATGGAGCCAAAGGGTATAGGAATTTGCTATGCTCCCCAGCTCCATCTAGTGGCTATAATGGAGTGTACATTTAAAAGTCAGATTTTAGCAAAACCACAGCTCTGTGAACATTTTATAAATACACCCATATGTGTTCATTTTAGATTAAACCTAGGCCTAAATGAGCTATTAGCTCTGTCTCCTGAGCCAAACTCCAGCCACTTACCCTGCTTACAAGTGCTCATACTGGCTACTAAGGCAGCTTTCAAATGGTAGTGACATCATAGTGTCGTGAATTGGAAATTAGACGAGAGGGTGTGGGATAAAAGAAAAGGAAACCTGGGGGGTACAAATGTGGCATCACTCACTTATCTTTTAAAGGTGAAGGTTTCAGGTCAGTTACCCTGACCTGGAACAGGCTTGTAGCCAGTTAAGTTAGAACTCCTGTCCTGAGAATAGTCAGCACATTATAGGCTCAATACCCATACTCTGGTCTGTAAAGCCACAGATGTTTTTTCTAATAGCTTTTACAGCAAAGTAAATGTGTTTTCTACAGATACAAATTGAATAATAAAATGTGGAAGAAAAACAGACTTTAATCTCAAGGACTTCCTTCACAATCGCACATTGTTCAATCTTGCAGCATTCTCCCCACAAATGACCTTCATGTCCTACAAGAGAGAAAAACTGCAGGGCAGAACTGTAATTTTATATTAACTCTCTTAGTTCTAAACAGACATATATATTGAAGATATTCCATTATGTGACCGACCATTCTTCAATGAACCTTGGGGTGCCAATAGAGTGGGTACTTTCAGGTATCAAAAACTTATAAATGATACCGCATTTTATTACAGGCTGAGAGCTGACTGGAAATGTCAAGGGCTTTATTTGTGAATCCAATAGTGATCTCATAGGTCAGTGATGGCAAACCTTTCTGAGCCCGAGTGCCCAAACTGGATCACTAAACCAACTAATGTGTCTCAAAGTGCCAAAAGTGCACTTAGACCCGAATACTGATGATTTATTTTAGAAAAACCACTTCATACAACTGTCTGAACTAATTATGTGCTTACATCTTAGAAGAAAAATACAATACAAGAGGTTTTAACTACACTACATAGTGGCATGTACCTTTGTACTGTGCTAATGAGTGAAGTGTTCCATTGCAGTGTGTTACTAAGGTACATGTCACGCAGCACACTGCAAGGGAACAGTCTCTCTACAGCTTGGAGTCAGTGGTGGAGCACCAGGGCCCAGTTGCAGCTGTGACCGCTGTGACCCTGGTAGTTCTGCCACTGACTCCAACCTGTAGAGGAACTAATCTCAGCAATATAGTATATAACAATGCAGAATACCGCCAACTATATTGGGCTACATATCTCAGAAATACAATATGCAGCAATGCACAATACCCCCAAACTATAGAAGACTATGTATCCCAGCAATACATGATACAGCAATGCAAAATAACACCAACTATAGAGGACAACAAATCCCAGCAATACATTATACAGCAATGCAGAATAAGACCATCAGCTATAGAGGACTGCAAATCACACCAATACATTTAAAGACAATGCAAAATAATATAAGGCTGCATACTCTGTTAGCCCGGGGTGGCGGCCTGATGTCTCCAGGGTTTCTGAGGGCTGTGTGGGCTCTCATGTGAGCTGTGCAGGCTCTCAGGGGCACTGAGCAGTTCCCAGATGGGCTCTCAGTTGGGCTATATGGGCTTCCAGGTGGGCTGTATAGTCTCTAAGATGAGCTGTATGAGCTCTCAGGGGGGCTGTGCAGCTCTAAGGGGGGAGCTGTACAGACTCTCGGAGTGGGGGGCTGTGTGGTTCTCAAGGGGGACTGTGCAGCTCTTAGGGGGCTGTGTGGCTCTCGGGGGGGTCTGTACAGATTCTCAGGGGGACAGCGTGGCTCTCTGGGAATGTGCGGCTCTCAGGGGTGGCTGTGCGGCTTACAGGGGGTCTGTACGGTACGCAAACAGGGCTGGTCACAGTCAGGCAGCGGTGGCAGCGGGCTCTAAACAGGCATATTAGACAGCCGCTTGCTGGGGCTTCTCGGGGGTCCTAGCAAGGAGGAATCGGCCGTCTAATATGCCTGTTTAGAGGCCGCTGCCTGATTGTAACCAGCCCGGGTGGGTCGGATCTATTTTCATTGATGGTCCCTGAAACTGGGCTTGCGTGCCAGTAGAGAGGGCCCTGCGTGCCCTCCCTGGCAAACGTGCCATAGGTTAAAAAGGTGATCCTTTAGAATCTGTAAGTAGTTGTATGCTCTACAAATCAACCTCTAACTCCAAGAACAAATGAACAATCATGTACGTGATACAGAGAATTAACACATATCGCCAATTCACAAATAGCCAATCTGAAGCTTTTTTTTTTTTTCTCATTAGTAAAATAATTTTGCAACTTTTTTTTTTTTCCTCATACTTTTCTATTCCGCTCGGTGACAAGAAACATGACAGGTGCCAGCGGTCCTATAGAGAGGTAAGCTCCCGGGTGCTTAATCCGGACCAAACGTACTCAAAGTGAGCCTTCAGAATAGGGTTCACACCTGGGGCTGTCCATGCTTTAGACCTGCTTTAAACATGAAGAAGCCTGCATTTAATTTATTGACTGCATTAATATGCTCCAACATGGAGACTCATATAAACAAAGTTAGGACCACACTTCACAGAGGAGCCTTGATGGGGTTAGTGTGGCTTCTACATATTTTTGGCCAAAGGTTTGTGTAACTAAAACCTCTGCTTTTAACACATACTGTTAGACAGGGTAATGTGTTTTGTTGCAGACTAGCTGGCAAGTGTGCTGGGGACTCTGTGTTTTGTATTGTTGTAAGCCTTCCCATGTGCACCCTGCTACCAAGGCTGGTTATACATTTATGGGGTTACCACCTATTTCTGGCCCCCCAAAATCCAATCCAGCATGGTCCAAGTATGGCTACCAAAGCTAGGCAGAGGCAACACAGATCTGTGTTAGCCTAAATGACCTTACTCACAAAGCGAGTCTCCAGAGAAAGGGTCTCAACTGGGTCTGTGTCAATACAGTGGAAGCGCTGATCTGGATAGCTACTACACAGAACTAGCTCAAACAGAAGTGTAGCAAGGAATCTTTGAAGTCATGGAGGAAAACATGAAAAAACTGAGGCATGTTGGGAGTGGTAGGAGGTATCCTGGGTTGCTCACATTTTTTTTTGGTAGTATAATCCAACAGTATCTGAATTCCTGTGACAGTCAATGGACATGAAAGAAAACTTTTTAAAAGGCTAGGAAGGGTTAAAATCCCTAGCATTATTTATTTTGCTATCTTGCAATATTTTGAAAGTCTCGTCGGGGAGATTTCCCTTCACTTCCTGTTCTGAACACCAAACAGAAAACTAGAGGAAATCTCTCTAAAGTGAGGTACCTGTGTGGACTTTATTACATTAACGTAATTTCTGGATAACATCAGAAGTTTACTGACTGGTTTTACTTGTTGCCCGGTATTGCTCTTTAAAGGGCACATGCTTTGTAGCAAATGATAAGATGCAAAGGAGAGAAGTGGCCAAAGCTAGAAAGGCCAGGAGCAGAGTGTTTACTACAGAAAGTCTTGAGATACCGGAAGCGGTCTACAACTCCCCCAAATTCTTATACCATTAATGGGTTGACGTGCCCTCTGCCAAATCGATGCTTAATGTAAGCTACATAAACAAAAAATGACCAGAACCGTTTTATGAAACCATGATTTTTATTTGCAGTTATCAGAAAATTCATTTTGTATGCATACAACAAAAAGTATCATTCAAAGCAAAATAAAAGATACAAAAAAAATAACTGAGCACAATTTGGCAGTCTAACATAAAAATTATTTTACATTCAACTAAGAGTGTAGGTAGTCTTATATTCAGAGGCAAACAGTATTTAATTTCAGATCCCCCACCACTCCCTGGTACATGAACTCCAAAAAATTGTCACATGCGAAAATCTACAAATTACAGTTCATACGGTATCAGTATCAATCTACAGCCCTGTCCTACACCCCTCTGATTAATGCAGACCCTAGATCAAACACCTTACAAAGGCTTCAGAGGGGCTTCCAAAGATAAACACCTTTGCTGTCTGAACCTGGGCCATCTTTTTTCCAGTTCATTCTAATTTAATGTAAGCTATCCAGCAAATTGCTTAACAACTCTATAGCTTATAAGCATCACAGATGCGGTCATGATTTGTTTCAAAAACAGATTGTCTTCTAAGAGTCACTTTGAGTTGGTTCAGGAGGGTCCTTCTCTTCTGGTTCCGGAGGAGGCAGCGGAGGAGCTGGCACGACTGCCTCTTTCTGAGACTCTAAATATTCGTGGACAGCCTTTTCTATATGCGGCCGAAATATGTGATTGAGTTTAGGGTCTACTACCTGTGAAATAATTCTATCTACTCCAGCTTCCATCATCCCCGTTTGGACGACGCTCTGTCTCAGCCCGTTACGGAGTTGGTTCTTGTTCATTCCTGCACTCCACTCCTGCTTGTCTAGGTGAGTAGAAACAAAATTGTCCACTTTTTGTCTTAAATTTTGGTAGGCTGGCTTGGTGTCGACGTCTGCCAAGCAATCTCTTCGGAATACATCAAACAAGCCTTGGCTCTTAAGCTGCTCAACAATCAATGCAATGAGTTGGGGATCTCCTGGAGGCAAAGAGGCTGCATTTGTTACTCCTCCCATAGAGGAAGAGCCACTTGCTCCACTTCCGCTCTCAGCCATGATTTCCTTCAAGCTTTCTAACACCTAGAAGTAAAAAATATTGGTATATAAATCATTCAGATAATATCAAATATGTTTTTAGCTTCTAAAAATGTTCAGTTTGGAAGAACTGACTACTGTAGCAGATTTAAAATGAACCAGAACTGCAACACTGCTACAGACTCCATTCTTCCATAATTACATATAGCTATGTAGCTTGAAAAACAAAAGACCTGTCCATTGAGTTTAACATACAAATTAAGAAAAAATTAAAACCTAAACCCACGGTTGATTCAGAGGAATGAAAAGTCACTAATAAAGCATGGCCCAAAATGCTCCAACAACCTTCATAATCCCCTAAGGCAATTGAATACCTTTTGCTTCAACAGCCTATGGTGCTATAACAAGGCACCTCAATGAGAATGCTACCCTCTTCCCCCTTCCCTTGAAGCAAGATACATGGTTTCCCACTTTGACCACATTACCCTTTGTAGGTGAAAATTGACCACTGAGATGAGCACTCTGAGACCCCATTCACAGTGAACTACATCCAAAAAAGCATCAATCAAATCGCTCTTTTTTGAGAGCGATTTTGAGCTGAGCGACATTGAGCTACAGTGCACATTTTGTCGCGCAGCGCGACTTTTCGCAGGAACTTTGTAGCTGCTACATTGGGCTGTAACCAACGAAAAGCGGTCTTGATGTGACATCATTCCTTCCTGCTTATATTTCTGTGCAAAAGTGACACTTCTGTAGCGCGACATTGAGCTACACCATTAAAGTCTATTGGGCCAAATCGCACAAAATCTGCATAAAATAGGTTATGTTCGAGCTACAAGCTTGAGCGACGAGCTACAGGCGACATTGAGCTGTGAGATGTGAACAGCTCCATTTAAATATTTGAGCTGATATTTGAGTAATTTTGGAGCTGAAATCAGGTGAAAAACCGATCAGTGTGAACGGGGTCTGATACATCAAAGGTCCAACTTAGTTGACTGAAATGCAAACAAAAAAGGAAGACAATGGTCTTACTGGAGCTTATCGAAGCGGTGTGAGGAGGAAAAGGGGACTCTCCAAGTTAAATAAATAGACATTTTGAGGAGAGCTCTGATTTCATTTCCCTCTGCCCAACTTCTTTAGCCAATGGTCTGTATAATTTGACAAAGCACAATGCCCAAGCAGCACAACATACCTATAGACAGCGTTGAGTTCTAGAAATTTCCGTCACTTTTACCAGTTTCCTAAGAGACAGAAGAAAAGTCAATGAAAACAAAATTTAAATAAAATGGCAACAATAAAGTCATCCTTTTTTACAGCCATATTCTTTTTACAAGACTTAAAAGCAGGATTGGGCTGATCCAAGGAGCTATTATGTTCAAGCAATGAGGCCTAGTGTCTATCTCTAGATCAATAAAGACATGTTCCCTGGCTTATTAAAACCCAGACTGGACTGAATGGCATCTGAATTGTACAATCATTCATTTACATCAGAATAGAGTATACCCACATGACATACCATTATTAACTTGAATATATCATTATTAGGGATGTCCAGATACCAGTGCCGATACTTGGCATTTTCATGAGAAGTACCAGGGTTGCAGCGGTTGCAGCTGGGACCTGGCTCTGGTGCTCCACCACTGTCCTGAAATCATTAGTCTGTATTGTTTTAGAAAAACTGTCACATGACAATAAACAAAAATGTATCCGTAATTGTATCTGTGAGTACTTGGACAAGTATCAGCACTAAAATGGTATCAGTGCATCCCTAATATATATTTATAAAACAAATATATAATGCATTAAAACAGCAAAGCACAAATCCCAGGAGCTCGGAATGCGCCTTAAAAATGACAGCTGCCTCCTAACTTTTGAATTTTTCTCTAGTCTTGTCCTGGAGCTGGAAAAGTATCTGTACTTGTACTGAGTGCGGTACTTGGCATCTGAACATCCCTAATAATTATATATGAAATCTTTAAAACCAGACCAATGCTCTGAAATTAAAGCGTCTTTAACAACCAGGCAATGACAGGGGCAATGACAGGTCAGAAATACTTACCTCAACCCTGGAATCCCAGGAACATACATTGGTCATATGGTCTTTATATAGGGGGCTTGGGTGAGTAATGTTCAGGGAGAGAAAGCCAGTTAGCAGGTCTGCCCGTAACATGATTCTCCACTTTGCCCAAGATCATGTGACCGGTACTAGAGGAGGGAGGATCAAGGGACCCCATGAGACAGTATTAGACCCAGAAAGCAAAGTTATTTTTACAGAATATATCTGTGTTAAAAGAAAAATTCCACTGAGTACTATTTGTAAGAAAACTGACAAATAACCTCAGCATTTTACACAAAAAAGAAAAAAAAGTAAAACAGTGCAAGTGATTATAATCGATTATGTCGATTAGTTGTTGCAGCCCTAGTGCAAGCCTCCACCGTCCACACATGCAATGGTTTGGAAACATAAGTGTTACACAGCAAAGTAACTGTGTGAGAAACCTCAAAATAATTTCCCCACTCGCTGACTGGTGGGTTCCATACTAGTTTAGGGCAGCCATGTTCTAGTCGAGGCCAAATCATCTTTGAAAAATAAAAAATTGAAAAAACACCTACCTTGGCCCCAGACTCTGCTTTCCCAGGAGCCAGTGGTGAGGAACGTGATGTCAGCTGTGCTTCTGAAAGCAAAGAACTCAAAATCCCATGCTAAGGTGTTCAAGCACACTGCAAGTGCACATTCTCGTGGTATTTTGAGTGACCACCTTTCCAAGGAGGCGCGGTTAGGCACCGTTGGAAGGTGGGGCCATGGTATTTATTTATTTTTTAAATTGAGGTTTGTAAAAGGTTTATCCTTAAGGGCTTGTTCACACCAAATGCAGACCAGATCTGCATGAGCTTCTGCACACGCAGTGCAGTGGGTTGTGTCGCATTTTTGATGCGTTCCGGGTCGTTTTAGGTTAAAAAAAATGGGATTTCAGTGTGTTCCAGGGCGTTTGCATGCGTTCCAGAGCAGGTAAAATAGGGCTTTCTGCAGTTTTTTTACATGCTCTGGAACTGAATGCTGCAGTCTGAACTAGACCCAAAATACCATTGGACTACATTGGACGCAGTTTTGATCCGGTCTAACAGATCTGCTCTGCTCCTGGAACGTACTTGGTGTGAACAAGGCCTCACAGGCAGTTTTTAAACATATGTATTTGGGGGTAGGGGACTGTCAGTAAAGAGGACGTCAACTTTCATAGAAGGTCCACTCTAAGGCCTTTTAAACCAATATTCTTAGAGCAGTGGCAACATAGCGAACATATTGTGCCCTCCATAGCAACATTTACTGGCAGCAATGTCTCCATGTTTTTAAGGTGTAGACAGCCAATTAAGAAGCTGTCTTTAAAAGCTCATTGGCATTGTGCTGCACTCAGTCCTCAGTGCCCATCTGTTTTGCCAAGGACTGAGGACTCTTTCTCCCTCAACAATGTGACAGGACTGGGTGGGTGAGCAGACTATCGCCAAGCTCCAGTGGAGTCACATGGGCGCAAGGGTAATAAGCCCCATATCTTCTCATACCCAAAAGTACCTTGTATTTTTCTTCACTGGCCGAACAATGCAACCTACATGGGCAACCAGAGATTTAATGCAATTTTCCACTAATTTGTTTTTCTAAAATGCAAGTTTTGTGAATTCCAAAAAAATTGGGTTCAATTGTAAAGAAGAAAGACTGTGATACCAAAGAAGTGCAGTCAGAAAGCAGACATACAGGCCTTGGCCACAAGAACTTTACAGCATCACAAACATTGTAAATGTAAGTATAGGCTCTGGACACTTATGATATACTTTCATGAATGTCACACAACACCTAAAAACGTATGCGCTGGCCTTAGATTATGTCTGCATGTCTTTGATTGGTCTGTGTAAAGATGTGCATATAACCCTTATGCTGCCTGTACACATTGGGGGGAATTTATCAAAACTGGAGCAGACAAAATCTGGAGCAGCTGAACGTGCCAACCAATCAGCTTCTCTCTTCAGTTTGTTCAGTTAAGATTTGAAAATGAAAGAGAGAAGCGGATTGGTTGCCATGCACACCAGCTCCAGATTGTGTCTGCTCCAGTTTTGATAAAATTCCCCACACAGTGGTTTCCAAGAACTTAGTTTGAAAACTTCTACGTTTTTGGCCGGCATAAGTCAGCTAATTTCGCAGCCACGGGTGTACATCCTTATGCTGGCCATACACATAGGTTATCTGCAGATTTTCTATGGTCAGATGGAAAAAGTGCAACAGATTCCTCCATCTATGCTACACTGTGTGGATGGAGGAATCTCCCACAAGGGTCGGGCTTTAGTATCTTGCTAGTCGGCCCCGCTGGCTCTCAAAATACCTGAATCCAATCAGATTGTTCAGGTATCCTCCTCACGCCAGATGTGTTGGGGCTGCCATGGCCACATTTCCAGCACAGCCCCAATGCACAGACAAGACAATTTGCTTTGTTTTAGATCAGATAAGTTCACACAAAAAAATGCATTCGGTACATGTATTCAGCTCAGTGCAATGTGGTATAATTGCAGCGCACCACACTGCTCTAAAATTGGCAGATCAGCACTACGGGTCAGCGCATGCCAGCAGCCGTGCCTTACCCAAGGGAGCAGAGCCGTGCTTCTACCAAGATGGTCGCCTCCACATAGAGTGCAGAACGAGGCATGGTGAAACAGTTATTAAAAATTAGCTACAGGCAACCCTGGTAACTAGTCTTGTCTTTTCTGGTCACAGGTCAGGTCCCCTTTAAGCCTCATTAGTGACCAATCAGCTTTACAAATTCTACATTTAACAACATAAACTAGACTGAAGACTGACACTCACTATATCAATGTACAGAACTGGTCATACCAAGATCACACGGCTGCTGCACTCCAAATGCTATCACATAGGGGTTTGTTATTAAAGGGGAACTATGACGCGAATGATTTTCACTCAACCTCATAGTTTGAGCCGACTTGTGACAAACTGGAAACGGTCACAGGTGATCTCGACAGCATTGTTGGGATCCGTCCCGGCTGCGGCGCTCTCAATATATATTGAGCAATAGCTCGCTATATACTGAGCTTTGGGTCACGGGAGGAAGTTAGTATATGTCCTCCCATGACCCTTAAGAGAACTATGGGATAAAAAGGTTACCCCATAGTTCTCTTTTAATGGTTTGGCAGGCAACACAGTTTCCATATATGAATCTATATACATTTACTAAAAAAAATTTAAGTTTTCTAAAAACCCAACAGTCACATGCACATTTCTCACCTATCCTATAAACAAGATTTTTAGAGATTCAGCACAGATCACATTGTTTTCTGACAAGGAATGAAAATAAACTTTAGCGTTTTAAGGAAAAAATATAAAAAGCTAAAAAGAACTCTGGTCATGTAAAACCAAAAAAAATAATGCTTGCAGTGGGGCTACCCACCGCACTGCAAGGGTTAAGTGCTCATTTTGGTCTAGGGTCTAAAATAAAAAAAATACTCACCCGGTCCAGCCTGGCTGCTAGATTGGTCCCGCAGCCTATTCTCCCCCCTGGGCTCCGATGTTGTACAGATCTGTGAAGTCACCACATCCATTGCTTGCATTTGACATGAGGACACAGATGGACATTCAAGTTTGAGCGGAGAGGGATAGTACTCTATAGGAGTGTATAGATACAGTACAGTGGGTGAGTGTTGTCACTCTAGGACAGGAAGTATGCTATTTGCAGGATCACCAGAATAAAAGGGAAGGGGGAAAAAAAAAAAAAAGCCTAAAAAAAAAAAGAAAACTATTGTAGCCACCACATCTAAGGACTGGTAAGCTACAATATATTGTTGTGGGTTTCGCCACATTTTAACGCTTTAGGGTATTGTTATGAACTGAACTTCTCCTCTAAGGGATGTAATTGGCTCCCTAGTGGATTATACATACGATTAAATGGGAATTGAATTCCAGAGAGGAGAAATAATAAGTTCTGATCATCGCAGTGTCGTAGATGTCACCAACAAGAAGGGAACACAACTTAGTGACATTAAACCCTCAGATTTTTTTAACATAAACCAATACTGTAATGTGCGCCTTACTGTAATCCATAGTTGTTTCCCTTCTCTTTGCTGCTCTTCCTTTTAAATCTGTATCTGTTCTCATGCTCTGCAGAACTTCTGTTTTGCAGCAGACTGCCCTGTCTCAGGAATGGATACACGGTGTCTGTGTATCCGTTTGTATAGGCTTGTAACCTGAGCCAGCACTACAGGAAGAGGCCCTGAGCTGAAAAGGGAAGTTCTCCCCAAGCATGAGAAGACATGAGGATTTAAAAAGGAAGAGCAGCAAAGGGAAGGGAAACAACCATGGATTACAGTAAGGCACACATTACAGTATTGGTTTATGTTAAAAAATCTGAGTGTGTTTTGTCGCTTTAAAACAGTTGTCATATAGCATGTAGGACCAATGAGGAGCATGCTAGTTCTCACACCATCCACTGCTTATTTAATCACTAGAAAAGCAACCAATGAAATTACAGGACATACAATACTAAACTAAAAGAGCGCCTTCAGGCATACAAAGTGGCACGTTATGTTATAAGTATTGCTATGGCAATGCTCAACCATTTCAATGAAAGCATTTTTGGGACCTAAGTTAGGTAGGGAAATGCTGAAATTGCAATGGTGTCTTCTTGCAGTGCAGGGGTGGACTAAATAATATAGAATAAAGAGAAACCTTTCATGAAAGAACTATAAGAAAGCTGTGAGGATGCTAGGGGACCTTCCACCAAGTGGAGCAGAAGGGGAGAAGAGCGCTGACTGCAGGGGGAGTAGGGATCATATAAGTAAATCTGCTTTACGCTAACCCTAGACAAAAACGAGCACTTGACCCTTGCACTGCGGGGGTAGCCCCACTGCAAGGGTACTTTTTTTTGTTGGCCTGTAGATGGGCTTTAAGGCTGAATGCTCAGCCAAGACAAGACAGGGTCTCTTATAGACAGACATATTCTCTACGACCAATCTCTTTGCATTTGAACTATTACAAAGCATGCCAGAGTATGGAGGACATAGAACTATTTCCAGGCCTGGTCAGGGCATGATGTGATAACTTTGCATTTTCTGTATCTATACATGACAAGTGGTTGATGAGGGGAGACATGTTGGGGTAAGGGGGTGAATTTATTTTTATATATAAAATTTTAATAAAATGGTGCTTATTCCCCGTGGAAACAGAATTATTTTATCTAAAGCAGACTAGAACATGAAAGAAAATTCTGGATGGTGTAAACAGGATTTTTGGAGCCAGCTACATAGACCACAACTAGAGAAGACCTCAAAAGTTAAGCGTCAGCTGTCATTTTTAAGGAGCATTCTTGAAGCGGCTCCTGGGATTTGTCTAGTACTGAAGTAGGTATGGATCCCAATAGAGATGCTGGAAAACTAACAATTCCCCCATAATGCATTCTTCTCTTTAGGGCACACAATGGGAAGATGTTAAGCCTCAATCGGGTTTTTAACAATTCTCTTAATCTAAGAGTTGAGGTTTATACACTGGTGTCAATTTGCTAAAGTAGACCATATTCAAATTGCAAAGTCGATTTTCACTTAGCATAGCAAATAAAGTCTGAGTAAAAATTAATTTTGCAAAGAATAATCAATACATGTGCAAGGAAAACTAAAAAAAAAAACAGAAACAAAAAACAGAATTTTTGCTCACACATGACTGGATGATTGAAGTCCGGACAGCTTCACCTCGTTCACTAAGCCAAGTAAAAGTTAGCTTAGTAGCTAGCTGCAGTGAAACTTCACTCATGTATAAAAATGTTATAATTTCCTTGCTCGTGATTGGGTATTTTTTTTTTTGCAGTAGTGAGTTTTAACTTAGCTACACCTCCATTTACTAGGCCAAGAGAAAATTCAGTTTGCAAAGTGTTGTTTGTAGCTATGTCGACCAAAGATCTTCGATCCGTTTTGGTTTTCTCACTACAGCTGTCAACTACTGGGTTAAAAGGGAGGAGAGGTATCCACAAGCGTTTAGGAAATCAACCACCCACTGTGTTCACCCAGAAATGTTCATATCCGCAAAAATATTTGTTTGCACTATATCTACTACTGGGACCTACTAAATGAATAATTAGAATATTAGATTTTTTTTTTTTTCATTAAGGTGGAATTCCAGCCAAAAATTGCCTCCATTTTTGATGGAGAAAAGATAGATTAGAAGTTCTTTTGGGGTTTTTTTGCTGTCTGGGTCTCCAATGACCTTCCTTTCGTGGGAACCACTTTCACTGGGACAAGAGGAGAAATTGCCTCAACAGGCACGCAAACAAAACCCAACAGAGGTTTCTGCCCTTTTTTTATTGTTGTATCTGCCCCTATTGGAGAGTTCTCCTTTCTCAGGAACCAAAGTAATTGGAAATGGAAGTGACTGGAAATCCTTCCTAATGGGGGCAGAGGCTGCAATAAAATACCTTACTTTTTACTGATGGCACATCACACTCTGTAGTGTCACCAGTGGTCAATCCAGATCAAACAAAGCGTGGACGCCTTTAGCCAGCATTTTAGGTAAAACGGACTGCGTGCTAAAAGCAACTCTTTGACTATATTGAAAGCTTCAAAGACATGGTTCCCTGCTTAGAAGAAATACTTCCATCTCCTGCCACCAACAATGTCCATCTGCATAGTACCAAAAAGGAGCTAACTGAAGACTCTTCAGAAAATGACACTTCCAGGAGCGTCAGATAAATTGTCCCTCACTGTGCTCAATGGTTCAGTCTGCCAACCCCTATGTCACCATCATGTCCTGCAATGATGTTGGAGCTAGAGGAACCACAGAGCACATATGGAGAAACCTGGAAATCAGAACTACCAGAAGTGCCAGTCTCAGCAGAGCCTTCAGGCAGATTTTTCTACAATGCAAATTGGTGACACGGACGTAGGAAGAGCAAAGTATTTAGTCTTCTTTGCAGGGAAACACTTTAGGAGCTTTAAACTTGTTCAACTGCAAGGGTTGACTGCTCGTTTATGCCTAGGGAAGTTGTGTAAAAGGACATTTACTTACCTGATCCCTGCTCCCTCAGCAGTCGGTGTGCACCTCACTCCCCTACGCACCGGCTTGGGGACTGTCCCTCGTGTCCTCGCATATCATGCAGGGCTACCAGCCCTGCATGAAATGCGATGATGCCAACCGGCCTCTAACAGCCAGTGCAGAGGGGGCAAGAGGCTGCAGGCCATCTTGGAGCATGGGGAAGCAGGGATTAGGTAAGTAAATATAATTTATCCAGCTCCCCTAGAAGAAAAAAAAAAGAAGAGCAGTTAACACTTGCAGTGCGGAGGTAGCCTCACTGCAAGGACAGTTTTCTTTTTCCCCAGAGATAAGCTTCAACAACAATTCAAGCAGTGGCAGTCTTTTGCCCCATTCTGGGTGCTGGACTGAAGCTTGCCTGCCCCTCCTGCCTCCCACACATTCCTACTGGCCAGTAAGGCAGCCAATAGGAATGTATGGGTACAGTCGGAAGCGGAAAAGCTCCAACGCTACCACACAGCGCTAAAGTATTGTCTGATCAGAACAGCCCAACATTTGGGTAGTGTGGGGGCACTGAAAGCTGCTGCAGGCTAGTCCAGGTATCACGAGGTGCCTGTTCGCTATACCCACCAGCACCTTGGCTTTTTTTTTTTTTTAAAGTGACTCAATCACATAAAATAACACTTGAAGCAGAAATCAAAACATATATGTAAGTTGGCAGGATATTTACTCACCTGTACAAGAAATGTGTGACTCCAGCCGTAGTGCTCTGGAGTGTCAGATGGGCTCCCGGATTTTTGCTGCAATCTGGAAGAGAGTGGGGACAAATGACTGCACAGAAGCAGCACCCACAGCTCTGGTGCAGAGAAGTCAATTGCTTGTTTGCAGAAATCTATTCATACACAGGCGGCTCACGAGAAGAGAGGAGAGAAAATGCAGAGAACATCTCTATTCTTGTATGTGTTGAGTTTTCCAAAATAAAAGGGATGTAAGATCTCAATAAACTTACAAATAAAATTGTAAATCATTGAAAATGAAAAAGCTTGTGTTACATTCATGAGTTTAAGATGGATTAAAGATTGGGATGTACACATGAATATGGAATTCAATAGCCAGTCTGTCCAATCCAAGAGCCAGCAGGATTTTCTAGGATCCAGCTCCACTGACAAGTAGAGAAAACCTCAAAAATGAGGCGCCAGCTGTAGCATTATAGAGTACTGGTGACCTGGCTCCTGGTATTTGTCCAGCCCTGAAATAAAATGCATACATCATAACAGGGTCCTTACCACTGGGTGCCACAGTATATGTTAGCTTCACATCTGATCAATGAATTATCACCACATAGTCAGATTGCTTCTGGTTTGTACAAACCCCTTCCATTCCAGTATGAGCTCGCCATACTACAAGACCACAGACTTGTTTCCAGCGAGCTGGAGATTCTCCGATATTAACTTCATGCACAATGTTGGCACACACCTTACCTTTGAACACTGCATAGTAACAGCTAGTATAAGGCTATACTTAAAGAGACCCTGTCACCAACGGGAAAACTGGAGGCAAAAGCACAGAAATTCTAAGTACTTTAAATGTTTCAATGCGATTCCTTTCTATAAACACAATGGGGGGAATCAAGACTGAAGCAGACAGAATCTGGAGCAGCTGTGCACAGTAACCAATCAGCTTCTCTCTTTTATTTTCAAATCTTAACTGAACAAACTGAAGAGAGAAGCTGATTGGTCATGGGGTAGGACTAATAACACTGCTTGGGATACTGGTGTAGCTGAGGCAGCATTATCAACTCAAAGAGGAAGTTAGGAGCTCACTAAATTTCTGGTAGGATCATTAGGGATTTTTCTGTACTTACAGCAGGGGTGGGCAAATTAATATGGAATTCAGTAGCCAGTCTGCCAAATCCAGGAGCCAGCAGGATTTTTTAGGAGACAGCTCTATTAACAACAAATTGGGAAAACCCTAAAATGCAAGCTCCAGCTGTGATTGTTAGGGTCCGTTCACATCAGTGATGGGACACTGTCACACGATACGTGCGTTGCGCTGTGCCATGTGCTAATTGGTTCGGCCCTCTACAGCCATTCCAGGTTCTCATGTGGCCCCTCGAGAAAATAATAGCCCACCACCGCCCTACACCATCACACAATCAGTTGCATCCTCTATGGATGTAATGACATGGTTTAGTTTCCAATTCTGTAGTGTGGTAAGGGCGGCATGTTGTGTACACAGTTCATAGTAAATGTAACCAGGAAGCACAGCGATAGAGATGAGACGGCACTCAGCCATGTCACAGAGGTGAGTAATCCACAAAACAAGCAGAATGTTTACCGAGCAACCTTAGTTGCCAGGTGAGGGAGGAATACAGATAACTGTCCTGTCACACTCAGCTCCTGCCTGCTATGAATTACTATACCTACCAGTGCAACCAAACAAATAATGAGGCAGAAAACCAGTACACGGTCACCAGTGTACTAGTTCTGGACCAACCAGTGTGAAGGGGGGTGGACAGGCACTATAAACTGTAAAACTAGCAAGCTTCATAAGAGATTAGAAGCATACATTTTTAAAATTCCCCTATCAAAAAGTGAAAAACTATAGTGGCGCCCCTTCAATCACTCATCAAAAGACCATCTATTAGCTAACTCCACTTTGTAGGTTCACTTCAAGACCACAGTAACAGGTTTAGAAATACTCATTAGGTATTAACCTGATAAAAGGACTGTAATCATATCATTAGTTTGTGATTAATTAAACCAACATGAACATATTATATTCAAATAATCATACACAAGTCTGGTCATGCACAGATTGCTACAACAATGTGCTACTAACTTTCCATCATTTATGCGCATGCCACCAGCCAAGTGAGTGGACCATACAGACACCTTCCCAGTATTGAGTCACTGGATGCTGTTGACTGAGTGGTTCCTAAGGATATACAGAAATGACTTACCTGGGTGGATGTTGGAACACAGGATGTGTTATCCATTTGTACACTTTCCTGATTGGTGGAGTGGATTATACTCACATATATGATGGATGGCCTTACCTGAATTCACATACCTTAATCCAATAGCTATATCAGACAGGCTAGTGCCACGGTATATATTTGGTTCCATACTTAAATGGGCATCTACTATGATTACTGGGCATCGCCCTGAAACATGTTAGTGCTTTATTTTCTAGTCTCTTTGCCTTCAAGAAGCTTTTATCTTTGCCCCAACCATACACTCTCACAGTGAAGTCACGTAACAGGTTAGGCTCACCAATACTAGAACTTACACAGGATGGGCTCCTGCAGTAGCGATACAACAAAAGGTATACCCTCCATGTGGGCTATTGGGAGATACTGTCAAGTTGTACTGAATGGGCAGGTGACAAATATCTTTAGCAAGAAGTAAATAGGCTTTAAAATAGGCACTATGTAGCTGCAGCCACTGGGGAGCAATTCATCCTCAATGTTTACAGTACACAAAGTTCTTCAAGCTGTTCTCTCGGCAGCTCAGCTCACCCTGCTCCTCCCATACCAGTGCCCCCGTTTGATGGATTACATCTTTTCCAGGGAGTCACAGGTTTTCAATGTGGCTGAATACGATGGATGCACATGTGTACAATTAGTAGCCAAATCTGCATGAATTTGGTGAATTTGTGGTTTGCTGAACTGTGACTTGACACACTTCAACGATCAATGCTTACGGGTCTGGAGGCAACTCTATGGGTCGGGCTGGCATGACTTAACTCCTTTGCATGCACATGGGAGTTACTTCATCCCAGCACCCTGAACTTCCTCTTACAGATGTCAGGATTGTACACTGGGCTCCAAATGCATAGCTGGGAGTGTGCAATTAGTGCAACATTTCTAGGAGGCAGGGAAAAAGATTTTATGGGATAAATACAAGTAAATAGCATACCTACTTACAATATTTACATAACATTGGTTCCGCTATTCAGGATCCTTCACACTACGAGTTACGTTATTGTGCACATTAGCAGGTGCTTTACCGTCAAGTGTATGCAAACCCTAATAACGAACTTCTCTTAAATGCTCCCTGTTGGTCTGTTACATATACCATTAAAGTGGAACATACTATTAAATATAAAGAACATCAAATTTAATAAGAGCAGAAAAAAAATACCAGCCAGAAATCTAGTGAGCTAATAATTTCCTCTCCCTCTCTGCTGACTGTTGTCAGTTAGCAATGTTCCCAGGTCTCTCTGAACTACAGAAAACCCCCATGCTGTGGAAACCTCTTTCTATCCAGGGGTGACAACACTGCGCCTTCATAAAAATCAAAAAGTCATAAATCCTGTAACACTCCTTACCGGAAATCCCCCAAAAAGAGTAAATAGGTGCTGCTTGAAATGACAGCGGATGGCGCCGCACACAAAACAGCTTAGAAAGCGCTCAGAGTAGACATCTCTACTCTGAGCCTGATGAAGGGGACCCTGTGCGGCCCCGAAAGCGCTTGTTATTCTGAGTGACATCTATCAATACATTTATTTGCACTGACTTATGAGCTTCTGTCGTGCTGGTGACTATCTACTTCTAAACTGCTCCTTTATAGACACAGTACATTGAGTGTTGTCACCCTAGGAAGGAAGTGTCTTACTGGCAGGATCACTAGGAGAAAAGAAAGAAGAAAAAAAACCAGAATAGAAACCTAATGCGGCAACCACATCGAAGCACTTGTTAGCTGCAGTATATACATTTTATTTTTTTGGATTTAGATATATTTTAATTACGGGCGCATGTGAAAAGATTTTTTGTTGTTTAACAAGCTGTAACTCGAAGAAATTGTGAAACAAAGGCAAAAGCTCCACCTGCTGGCTGGATAGAATAATACACATACTGAATATTTCAGATCTCCCTGAATACCGATGAATGAAGGAAAGATATTTTAAAGAAGAATGAACTATGCCCAAACAAAAAACAGGAAGAGAGCAAAGTACTAGTCAGCAGTATTGGCTGTGTTTGTGGTATCCCTACAGCTGATCCTTTCCCTATTACTGCCTTGCCATGCATTGTTCTGGACTATGTCCCTGTGTGGAGGTGGCCATCTTAGTAAAGGTAGGGATTTGCTTGCTCATGCCATTTCTGGGGGAATTCCAGACAAAAAGGTACATTATTCAGGGTACTACTTAGGCACAGTTCTTTCTAGACATTCCATATATCATATCAGCTTTACTTTTTGAATTGTATTTTATTTAGTCCTGATAAAAAATAAAAAAAACACACAGTGGCTTTGTAGTAAGCATTTCTGCCTTCAAGCACTGGGTGTCCCCGTTTAAATCCTGGTCAGGACACTATCTGCATGTTCTCCCTGTGCTTGCATGGCTTTCCAACCACACTCCAAAAATATATGCCGGTAGGTTAACCCCTTAGCGACCAGTGACATACATAGTACGTCACTGGCAGTGGGCTTGTTTAGACGGACTTCCGGCAGCTACTCTAACATTTGTAGAGCTGGCGGCCAACTTTACATTAGAAGCGATTCAGCTGTCGCCAGATCGCTTCTGCGGGCCGGTAAACTGCTAGTACCAGCCCGACACCCCCACCGTATTTCCTGGGCTCTGCTTCCCCTCCTGCAGGCACGGGACCAGCATCTCAGGTATCGGCAGGAAGCTGTGGAGGAAAGCAGCGAACGTCCATTCAACTAAACCCTCCCCAAACTATGGGACCAGGAGCGATGCAGTTTACATCACTTCCGGTCCCTGAAGCCCAGCAACAAGCTATTGAAGTGCGATCTGCGCTTCAATAGCTTATTTTGGGTGTAAAGGTGACACTAGGTGTCTTTTGG